CTCCGACGTTGCTCTGTTGCTCACAGATCAGCGTGACACTGGCTGAAAATGAGCCGTCTGTATGTGGGTGGCATAGGCTCGTTAGAAAGGAAGGATCCCGCTTGTCCCTCTGTGCCTCATCACGCGAGAGACATCATCACGCACTCTGAAGCAGCGAAGGAAATTGAGGACAGTTATGTGGCCGCCACCAGGACCAAGTGCGGTCTGATGAAGCTCGAGGTCGGTGATTTGCTTCGTCGATCCACCGCTTTTGTATAATAGCCCGATGCGAGCAGCAGAACCCTGTTGAGGATCAATGCTGATCACCAGACGGTCGGTACTGCAGCACTCGCCCGAGCCGCAGCCACGGTGTTCTTCAGCAATAAGCTTGTATTACCTCTCAACCGGTCGTCCCAATCACGTAAAGTCACCTTAGAAGTGGTGGTGTTCAGCCAATGGGCATTTTGCCGAACACCATAAGCAGCCACACGCATGAAGCCGTCCAGAAACCTTTTATAATGTGTGTGGTGAAAGGGACTTCCCGCCATTGTAGCCAAGGAATGCGGCTTGCTGCTAATTGTTTATCGTCCCATGTTGGCTATGTTCTCCCGGTCGAGATGCTCCTGAAGGGAGGTCATGCCCGTTAAGACAACGGCAACGTCACAGCTGTGGAAGGGGCCTCGGCTTGTTGGGTCAGCACGTCGCCACTGCTGACCAAGATGGCTTCTATGGGTCCCGCGGGGTCTGGGGATTCTGGGGACGGCGGAGACTTCCGGCGCAATGTTGAAGGGATCGTCCGTGAATGGTCAGCGGTAGGGTCATGACAGCGCTGCCGTGTAGACAATCCGGGCCGCTCTCACGCCGCCCCATGTCGGTATCCCATGTGTGTCAGTCGCAGTGTGGGACAGCCGTTGAGAGATTCTCCGTTTCATGGCGATGCCGTGGTCGACATGCTCTTCCGACGGTCATGATCCGCTACTCCCCGCAGTGCCTACTTACTGCCGGGAAGTGGATGACGGGTATCGGACTGGATGCCGGAGATGGTACGGCAAGAAGTCACCGGATCTCTCAGCATCACGTTTGGTTAAAATGTCTGCCCCGAGAGCTCCCCTCTCGGGATGCAAAGGCGCTCAACACAACACACCTGTCAGCCGTGTCTGTCACTGAAGGATGTTTTGTTTTAGGGACCCAGAAAAACTCACTTCAATGCAATAGCTCACATTGGCATCAGCGAAAGTATCGTCAGTACCCGGACAGCCCTGAGGTAACAAGCCTCATGGATGTGAATGCTGCTCACCGGGGAGGCAAGTGGGGCTTTCCGGGTGAACCTCGTGTCATTATCGCGCAAACTGCGGGTTGCGAAGGCAGGTGAGACGCAATCGGAGACGCTAGTGAGGGGCTATCCGAACTTCAGCCGGCCAAAACCCTGTCTGCGGAATCTCGGGACGGCGTCCAGCTCCATGATCCAGTTGAATTGGCCAATACGGAGCCGGCAGATGGGTCCCAAGACCAGAGTCTGACGCCAGAGGAGGCACAAGCTCCAGCCGGGGTGAGGGGCAACACCTCACTCAACGTGGGGTAGCTGGGAGATGCGCTGGATTTACGGACCATCTGACCGCGTCTTGGAAACCGTCGTTAGCCCATCTGTCCATCTGCCTTCCCCTCGAAGCCTTTCTCGACGCCTCGGCTTTGTGGTGGGAGAAGGGGGGACGGCGACAGGAATCACATTACACTCCTCTCTGCGCCTCGACATACCTTGTCTGCCAGTCTTTTCCCGGGAACGAACAATACATGGTTCTGTTTGCCCAACACAGATATTGGAAAACCACCTCCCACACCATGAGACTAGAGACTGGGGCTGCTGGCTGTTTGAACCGATACTCCGCCGCGGCGTCCGGAGATGGCCCGCTTTCGAGCTCGTAATAAATCTATTTAACACCTCTCGGCCTTCGAGAAACCAACTGATCTTGTCATTTCCAAGTCATCCATTTAGCTTCTCCTAGCCACCGCCTTTTGTTACGTTGCCTGCTTCCAATCTCAAGCGGCATCTTTTTTGTTCCAACGTAGAGACACCCGGCCAACTAAGGGTTTTATTTTCCGATTTGCCGGTTCAAAGCCCACGATGGCCGATTTCGATGTAGAGGACCTGCTGAAGAAGCTCACCGTCTCCGAGAAAGTTGACCTTCTTGCGGGTAAGCCACTTCGTCCCAACTGGCGCTCTCTCCCCACGATCGACGCCATCGACAAATTGGATCTTTGTGGGCTAACGTAATTGCTTCAGGTATCGACTTCTGGCACACCAAGGCTCTTCCCAAGCACAACGTCCCTTCCGTGCGACTATCTGATGGTCCCAATGGCGTTCGCGGCACCAAGTTTTTCAATGGCGTCAAGGCCGCCTGCTTCCCCTGCGGAACGGCCCTTGGCGCCACTTTCAACACCACCCTCCTAGAGGAGGCCGGAAAGAAGATGGGCGAAGAAGCCAAGCTCAAGGGAGCTCACTGCATCCTCGGCCCGACCATCAATATGCAAAGATCGCCTCTCGGTGGCAGAGGCTTCGAGTCTCTGGGTGAGGACCCTGTCTTGGCCGGCCTGGGCTCTGCCGCCATCGTGAACGGCATTCAGAGTACCGGCATCCAGGCGACGCCGAAGCACTTTGTTTGCAACGACCAGGAGCACAGGCGCAACGCTGTTCACAGCATCGTAACTGAGCGAGCCCTGCGCGAGATCTACGCCCTCCCTTTCCAGCTGACTTTCCGCGACTCGCAGCCCGGCGCTCTGATGACGGCGTACAACGGTGTCAACGGCAAGTTCTGCAGTGAGAACCAAGAGCTGCTTGAGGGACTCGTTCGCAAAGAGTGGGGTTGGGACGGCATGATCATGAGCGATTGGTACGGCACTTACAGCACAACGGAGGCGGCCAACGCCGGTCTCGATCTTGAGATGCCCGGTCCTCCGCGCTTTCGTGGAGAGCCCCTAAAGTTCAACGTTTCAACTGATAAGGTCCGCCAACACATTCTAGATGAGAGAGCCCGTGCTATGCTCAAGTTCATCAAGAAGTGCGTGGCAACTGGCATCCCTGAAGGCGCCCCGGAGAAGACTGGCGACACTCCTGAGACCGCTGAGCTGCTGAGACGCATTGGCGGCGAGAGTCTCGTTCTTCTCAAGAATGAGAACAGCGTTCTTCCCCTCAAGAAGGACAAGAAGGTATGGCCAAGAGCTTTCTCTCCTACACAACAACAGCAGCTGACTGAGACCGCAGACCGTCGTCATCGGCCCCAATGCCAAAATTTGCACCTACCACGGAGGTGGTTCCGCTTCTCTGGCTGCTTACTACTCCGTCACCCCCTTTGACGGAATCAGCAAGAAGCTGAGCTCTCCACCCGAGTACACCGAGGGTGCCTACTCCCACAAGCTTCTGCCTCTCCTTGGCAACGTTGTCAAGTCCAATGGCCAGCCCGGCATGACCATGAAGGCTTACAACGAGCCGCCCACCGACCACAACCGCGAGTGCCTCGACGAGCTTATCCTGACCAAGACCGAGCTCCTGCTTGTTGACTACTACAACCCCAAGTTCAAGTCCAACCTCTGGTACGCCGACTTTGAGGGCAGCTTTGTCGCCGAGGAGGACTGCACCTACGAGCTCGGTCTCATCGTCTGCGGCACCGCCAATCTGTTCGTCAATGACAAGCTTGTCATCGACAACACCACCAAGCAGCGCCAGGGAGACGCTTTCTTTGGCGCCGCGACCGTTGAGGAGAAGGGCCGTGTCGAGCTCAAGAAGGGCGAGACTTATACCTTCAAGGTTGAGTTCGCCTCGGCCCCTTCATCCAAGCTCCAGGGCGACAATGTCGTCTTCGGTGGTGGTGCCCTCCGCATCGGTGGTTGCAAGGTTATTGATGACAAGGCCGAGATCGCAAAGGCTGCTGCCCTCGCGAAGGACGCCGACCAGGTCATCATCTGCTCTGGCCTTAACGCTGACTGGGAGACTGAGGGCAATGACCGGGCCGACATGGAGCTTCCTGGCTACCTCAACGACCTCATCTCTGCCGTCGGCAAGGCCAACCCCAACACCGTTGTCGTTAACCAATCAGGAACGCCTGTGCGCATGCCGTGGATCAATGACGTTGCCGCCCTTGTGCAGGCCTGGTATGGAGGCAACGAGACAGGTAACGCCATCGCTGATGTCCTGTTCGGCGACGTCAACCCTTCAGGAAAGCTGTCTCTCAGCTTCCCCGAACGCGTCCAAGACAACCCGGCTTACCTCAACTACCGCGCTGAAGCCAGCCGCACTCTGTACGGCGAAGATATCTACATTGGCTATCGCTACTACGAATACATCGACCGCCCCGTCCTCTTCCCCTTTGGTCACGGTCTGTCTTACACGAGCTTCGCCTTTAGCGATCTCGTCGTCAACGACAAGGACGGTAAGCTTACCGTCGACGTCACAGTCAAGAACACAGGCTCTCTACAGGGTGCCGAGGTCGTCCAAGTTTACGTGGCGCCTAGGCAGAAGGCCAAGATCAACCGCCCACTCAAGGAACTCAAGGGCTTCGCTAAGGTGGCGCTGAAAGCCGGCGAGAGCAAGAAGGTGACGGTCAGCATCGATACCAAGTACGCTGCCAGCTACTTCGACGAGGAGCGCCACCAGTGGTGCGCAGAGAAGGGCGAATACGAGATTGTCGTCAGCGACAGCAGTGTTGTCGCCGACAAGGCCCTCAAGGGATCCTTCAGCGTCGGTGAGACGTTCTGGTGGTCGGGATTGTAGACAAATGGTTGATGTCCATTTGGATGGCAGAAAAGAAGGAGTAAAATATCTTGTCATAGCTGCGTTGGGTATGTAACGAATGAATAATGAATGCGGACTTAAAATATACATGTTCTCATTTGCTTCATGGGCCACATTAGTAGAATCTTGAATACACGTACTTCCGCACAAACATCTCGAATAGTCACGTCTATCATATCATGCATCCATAGACTTCCAGAGCCGTACTGCCAAAGGTCCGTTGCCCGAACGAAGGCTACTGTTGTTGAAGCGAGCTCACGCGCTTTTCTCTCATATCGCCATCAGAGCTTGGTGTGCTGCTATCTTCGATCCTTCGAAGTTCGTTCGGCGGTGTCCAGGGCTCCGCGTCGCCCAGTCGCTGTGCTGTCAAGCCAGCACTGCCAGCATTCTTCATTCCCGCCTCGAGCTGGCGTTGGTACGATATGCGACGAAGGCGTTCCGCTTCTGCCGGGGTCAAGTGAAGCTTCAAAGTCTCGTCAGCATAGTTCTTGCAAATGCAGCTGCGCACACATGGGGCAGTACACACGTAGAGTTCAACAAGAATGGCATGGATGGCTAGAGCCAGCCACGAGCCCGCACCGAATACGGCTGCGAACCCCGCGGCGATTTCGGCAGGCTGGTGGGCGTCCACATTGGCGTGAACAAGAACCTTCAAGCCAGGATACTCGCCAGAGTAAAAGCCTCCACAGTCAGGATAGAAGCCGAGGACCTTGGTCTGGTTGTGGCGGAAGATGAAGTCCAAGACCGCGCACTGCTTTACCTCGTAGTAGGTTGGGTCAGTATTGGCGACGATTCTAGCGGCCAAGAAACTGATGATGCGCATGGTGATGATGAAACCAGCCTGGGGGCACCATGATTGTTAGTTCCGCGCCTTTGGAGACCTGGGGTGTATTCTTACATATACCCAAGCCCTGAGCATCCAGGCACGATGCTGTTCGATCTGGAGTTTCTTGACGTTGTAAATAGCAAGCCCCAACGCTCCGAGGAACATGACGCTGCCTCCGCCCACGGCCGTCTGCATGCTGACGCCACCTCCAAAGGTACGCCGCGCTATCATGAAAACGCCAATGATGCCGACGATACTGAGAAGAAGGACGAGGTATCCGTTAAGGCGGTGGAACAGGATAGCCTTGTGGCGGATGACGGGAACGAACTGGAGGCAGGCCAAGAAACCACCGGGCAACACACCAGCTAGATGCATGACGATGCCAATCCTCCCCGTGCCGGATTGGTAGTAGTAGCACTCTCCCGGGAGGGCCCCTGACCTGTGATCCGGATTACAGAATATACCTTTGAAGTCGAAAAACATTAGGCGGGCGAGGATGAAGCCCACCATGGCACCGGCAGTGATAAAGAAGAGAGTAAAGTTATAACCCTTTTTGAAGCCGAGTGGATTATAGATCTTACGCACAAAGGTAACAAAACCGTTGGCGGGAGGCCTTGGCGGAGGAGACATGGTGGCAGGCGGGCAGACTCGGCTAAACATAAACCCATCTGCGTGTAACAATGGGCAAGCTGGAGTGAGACAAGCAGCCGCTCTTTGATACGTGCTTCTCGCTGAAGAACGGAGAGGAAGAATAGTCGTACAATCACGGACAAGATTGCGAGATACAGCCAGTGGAAGAGACGAACGGCCTCTCATATACGTTGACAGAGACATCGTCAGACAATGGAAGCACCCGAGACCTCGGACATCGATCCTAAAGTGGTGCTCAGCCTTGGTAGAGGATGATGAGGGGGATGAGCGATGAACATCGCTTGACAGGGTAAGGGCTGGGCTGGGCCAGGCTGGCTCCCATCCGGATCCCCCGCCAAAGATGCGTCGCTGCAGCTGGGCATACAGGATTAGCCGTTTGACAGCGCACCGGAGTCGTGTCTCACCAGATGCATGGCACCATGACATACAAGATAGAGGAGCTTGGCATCCTTGCTCCAACGACACAAGGCCAAGCTCGGCCGAGAGGGTGGGAATGACACATCTGGACTCGAGCCGGGGGAGAGCAGGTGTTTTCCGACCAGGCGGCTACCACGTCGTAGGTTTTCTCTCTCTGCAGTTCTCAAGCAGGTATCCGTCAGGAGAGGACGCTTAGGCAGGAGAAAGAGCGATGGTGACACTGGGAGGCGTTGCGGGACGGATCATGCATGCTCACCGGTCCTGTCACCGGCCGGCGTGGCGGCAAAGAAAGGGAAGAGGGTATAGCTAGCCAGTAAGAGGGCGAAGAGATGGGTGCCGGCTTCGCGAGGCTTCCTGCAAGTGGTTCACGAGAAAGACGCTTCCTAGGTCGGTCCACCCAAGGCGAGGGAATTACCTGACGTGCAGATGGCGTGGGCGCCGAGGGACACGAGATGCGGCCGTACGGGAGGGATCGAATACAAGCGGGCCGCATTAGTGTCGATTTGGGAGCGGGGCGAGCAAGGAAAAGCGAAAGATGAGATGGTTGAGAAAGGCCATGAGGCAGGAGCCAGCCCATGGCGGTGTGCTTGTGTGTTTCTGCAGGTATGTGCGGTGTGCCTCCACCTTGCTCATGACATTGCACCGGTTAGCGTCCAACGTCTGTCTCGAATTTGTCCGCTCCTCTGATGGGGCTCATACTGATGCACTGCTTCGCCTTTCGCAACCGTCTTATTCCATCAAGGCACCAACGCTCCGGTAAAGAGGTTGGAAATGTGCGGGGCGGGCGACGAGCCAAGACCGAGGTATTGCAGCACATCTACCGCAGACGTTGATGCTGGGCTAGTACCTTGGGCTAAGCCGCCTACGACGAATCCGAACCATAGGATCCTTTTGAGCAGACGGATGGGAAGTGGAGAGCAGGAAAGTAGGAAGAGGAGAAGGAGGCTAGGCGTGAGACACGAGAGCCCTGGTGGCTTCTTTAGCTTGGCTTAGCTGTGTTCATCATACACAGCCGCCGGCAACGTTGGAAGTCTGGACAAGCAGGAAAAGTTCTGGACGCTGCCGGTGATCAAGATTTTCTTTGATTTTTTTCTTACGTGGTGGTTGGAGGATGCTGACTGCAATGCAAGGGACCCGAGCTTCGCCATGGGAGCGAGCACATGGCTCGAGTAACAAAGTGGGAAACGCGTGGTATCGACCGGTGGAGCAGTCATTGAGTTAAGCTCCAATGTATCCGTATCCGTATGCAGGACACCGTTGATGGAACGTTGGAGGTGAATGCGATGGTCGTGAGCTTTAACCCCCTTTTGCCGTTGGCGTGGGCAGTTGCGAGAAAAAATCCCATCAAGACCTAAGGTAGAAAAAAGAAACATCAATATGCCCATGGCCGAGGCTGGCCCCCATCGTCGTCACATGATTCGCCCGGCACGTATCCCGCGTAAAGAGGGCACCACAACAACACGCTCCACCTTCCCAAACCATCTCGGTGCACCTTTTACCTCACTACCTACCTTACCTTACCTAGGTGGGTACACTGCACCGTGAACACTAACCTGCCGGTCGACACGGACCCCACACCACTACCCCCCTTCCACGTCTAAGGCAGGTCCTCCCGTCCCGCTACAATCGCCGTGCCGTGTCCGGCCGCGTTCCCGTCCCCTCCTCACCGCGTTCCTCTACCTACCTTACTCGATCACTCTTGCGCCTCGCCATGTCGTCAACCCAAGCAGCTCCGCCAACCGTGATAGCGCAAAAGCAATCCTTCCTCGCTATCCAAACCCGCCTACTTTCGCAGCCTATCCAACCGTCCCGCACATGGCTTGCCGCCAACGACTCCTCCGAGTCACCACTAAGTGATGCCTTGATCGAGCACGTTGTTACTCGTCTGAACCACAACATCGCCCAGCACTCTCGGCGCGCCTACCCTCACCAGGCTAGCCGACACGTCGCCGAGCAGCTTGACTCTCTTTACCTATCACACCCCACAACTGTACAAGAAGATGAGCCATCAGACGGTCTCTCGCTCTCTCTTGACTTGAGTAGGTTCCCCCTCCATTGTTTATGCACCATTCCATATACCCGCAGGTACGTAGGCTGACCAAATCGGAACACAGCCGATGACGCTGCCGTCAACTCACTGCCCGCAACATGGCCATCTGATGGCGATGTGACTACGTATCCCATGGAAGCCAGGCGCTATCACGACCAGTTTGAACGTCTTAAATCGCTTGCACAGCAGAGGCAGCGAGTGAGAGATCGTGTCGAGCGACTTGGGCGCATGAAAGCTGTATTGAATCCTTTCCACTCGGACGGGTCCGGCGTCGGGGTGCAGGAGAATCTTGTCACACGCGACGGCGAGGTCGAGAAAGAAATGGAACGCATGCGGGTTCTGCTAGCTCGTGTCGGCGGTCGTGTCAGCCTCCTACCCGACTCAACCGAGTCTGGATCTCTTTTCAGGGAGGACGACTCTCTCGTCGTGGAGCCTGTGGTTACGGGCGAGAAACGGAAGCTTGATGACCTTTTGGGCAGTTTTTGAGAAGACGCTGTCAAGCCAGCCCAATGTACGCACAAAGGTGAAGGACTGTGTTATTCTTTCATGATTCGTGTTTCATTGTTGGGCAGGAAGAGTGTTATTAGGTTCTAGGTTTCAAAAAGGATACCCCGACGCAGTACAAGATGTTACTTCGTTTTCCCACCGCAAGCACACTGCAATGCATGGCTGCGCAAGCCCTCTACTTGGAATAAAAACACCAGGCCTTCATGTTTTGCTCGGGCCGGGCCGAACTGGCAAGGACGCATCCTAAAGATCATCGCCGGTGGGTGCAATGCTTTTTTTCCTCTGCTGTATTTCACCCTCCAGCGTAGCATCCTTGGCACTGTCGTCAACGTCTAGCCCCTTTGGTTTCTTCTTGCTAGAGTCGGCATCCTTGGCTATCACCTCCTCTTCTGCAAATGGATTGGGTGACACAACGCGTAACTTGACAATGACCTCGTTTTCATCGTCTTCAAGTACCTTGTGATACACTCGGAGTCCTACCACGGCAACGGCGTTCCACGGGTCTCTCTCAAATTCATCCTGGTCATCTAGGAGATTCGAAGGGTTTGATGGCGGCGGCAGGCGTCCAGGGCTGTTCTCCCGCGACTTGAAGTCTTCGATCCTGATCTCGAGCTCTCGCTCGGATAAGTCGGAAAGGGAGGAGATGCTCGACAAGTCGTCATCGGATTCACAAAGCATCACACCGAATGCGTCATTTTCCGACGGAGCTGGTGGATCGCTTTGGGTGTCTTCGCTTCCCTGGGGCGTGGCTTGCCGGCTTTCATTCGTTGTATTGCCGGCTTCTCGGCGGATGTCCACGATTGGAGTTTCCCCAGCTTTCGCGGGCTGCAGCCCAGCCAGACCGCGGTTGTCCGAAGATTCCCCAAAGATCCCACTCGGAGTCTCCTCAAATGGTCGCGCAACATCTTCAACAGGTCCAGAGTCCGACAACGTCTTTGGCGAAGCTGCATGCTTATTGCTGACGCCGTTGCTTGCAGTTTGTTTGTCTCGTTCAGAGATGCTCAAGTCTTCGGTCTGAACATCCAGTTCCTGAACCTGGACGTGCTTTCTGGGAGAAGAGTTGGATTTTTCGGGGGTCTGCGCTGATTTCTCGGGCCCAGGGCGATCGTTCGTGTCGTCTCGCGTCTTTGCTTGTGTGGCCTTTTTCTTTTCTGCCCTGGCTTTATGTCTCGCGTGCCGCTTCGCCATGTGTTTCTGGTCCCGCTTTGCGGCCTTGACGCGCAGGTAATGCTCCTGCTCGCGCTCTTCTTGGATTTTGCTCCTGATCTCGGCGCGCTTTTTCTCCCGCTGCTTGTTCTCGTGGGCTTCTCGTGCTACCTTTAGCTCGGCTGATTCGATAACTCTCCCCTTGCTATGGGCAAGGTCGTAAGCCAGCCCAATGCGAGTTAACTTCTCGCGGCGACTTTTGGCATTGATTCTGATGACCTGCTCAATCGGCAAAACATTGTCATTCCTTACTGCGTCAATTCTGACGTAAACTTCGTAGCTACCGGCTTCGAGGTCTAGCTCCACGTTGACGGATCGATTCATGCGGTAAGATGCTGGGCTCCGTACGACATAGTCCTCCTGGCCGGCTATGTGCAAACGAAATTGCAGGTCAAACCTGTACTGGCCTTCCAGGCCTTTGAAGTATCGTTCGTCGAGATTTGCCAGAACCAGAACCACGGAAGTAGGCTTGGAAAGCTCAAAGGCGAAATGAGTATCGTGGTAGTCAAGGGTCCACGGTACTGAGAACGTCGTCCAAATGGAAGTTACCTTCCACTCAGGTCCAAACAAACGTGTCACGTCGAAAATGTTGTACTTCTTGAGCAGGTCGTGGTACGAAATCCAGAAAGCTCCATCATCCCCAAACTTGTGATTGAGCTTCTGGAGCCACTCAGGCGTCCACTGTGAAGAGCCATCGCCTGATGATGTTAGCACACGTAAGAGCACATGCTTATGGAAATAGGCCGCACTTACTCCAAGCACCCTTCCATTCCCCCTTTCCCCAAGGGTTCTTGAGTAG